GCGGAAGTCTTAAGATATGTACATCTACGCGGCATTGTTCGTCACTGTGATTCCTGTATTTTTCACCAATACAATAAATTTTGTATTTGTCATAAATATTTTTAAATACATTAGCAGTTTCCAGAAGTTCATTTTTTAAGTAATCTTCTTCAAAATAAATGTTCTTTTCATAGAGCCACTCCTTAATTTCACGTTTCACCCAATATTGTTTGGGAAAATTTAATTTCCTAGAGTGATAAGATGCATTGTCCAAGATAATGACATTCTGTTTATTTTTTGGGAGATTCGGTATTAACATCTCTTCAAACCATTTTTCAAATAGATCTCCGTCCATCTCTTCATGGTAATCTTCAGCACCTTTTTTGGCAAGAAAAGTGATGTCAGCACCTTCAACAAATCCGTCTTTGTTTCCTGCATGGACTAAAACAAATCTTGATCCTTTTCCGGTCGGAGTTTTTAAACCTGTGGTAAGTCCATTTACGAAAGCCTGTCGGCTATTTTTTATTGTTGTATCTTGCCATACTTGCCCATTGGTTATTCCAGTATTAACCCATGATTCGTCCATACAAATGATATTGGCTCCTTCGTTCCTCAGTTTCTTTATTTCCCGGAGATAGTGACGCCTCCAAGCGACTATTTCTTGTTTTTCTATTAATATTGAATTTCTACCTTGTTTGCCATATATAAAACCCATGTCGTGCAATAGTCTTCTCAACGTACTCTTGGAAAAATTCGGAAGATGCTCCATTTGCTTAATTTTTTCTAGTACTACGTCAAGGGTTGGAGGAATATTGTCCATAAAAAAACCGTGCACTACTTGTCTTATTCTAGACCGAGTTGCTTCATCATATCTATTCTCACGACTATTCAAATAACCGGTTCTTTTTTTTCTTATAGGAGTTACGAGTGGACCATTTTTACTTTTACTTCTATATCGGAATATCGTTCGCTCAGAGACTCCAGTCATAGCAGAAACTTCCCGCACTATTGTTGATACACTTTTATCATTATTACTGTTTGATAAATAGTTAAAAACATTTAACACTATTTTTTTGCATTCACTATTTAACAAATTACCGTTTTTGAATTTTATTATACTCGCGGCCATTTTGACACTGACACGACACAAACGTCTGATATCAACTGAAAATTCTTTTAATGACTCTCAAGTATTTACCTGAATTTATAATTGCTGGCATTAGACAATAATTTTGAATTTATAAATAGGTATATTTTTTTTAATTCTAAATTATTTTTTAATGTCTGTAACTGTAAATGCAGGTAGAGAAAGTGTGTCATTAAAAGGACATTAAGATCAAAAACGGATTATACAAATAATTATTTCATTTCCACGAATTGTAAACAATTTTGAACAGAAGATATAATTCCGAAAAGACTAGATTTCCGAAATATAACTTTCTATTTTGAAAATACCAACAGAAAAATTATATAATTAAAAAAATGTAGTATTTTTCCGTTTCACATTCATAAATATTTCCGAAATTATAATTCTTTTATAGGAGCCGGCCCATAACGTACGATTGTAGGTACGATTAAAAACTGACAACAATGTAGTTATTTCTGGCATATAGAAAGTACAGGCCTATCTCTGTAACGCTGCCATCTGAATGTGAATTTATCTATATTAATATTTGATTATTTTAGGAAACATTACTTAAATAAAAAATGAATGAACTTTTCATTAAATTTAATATTTATTTTAATACGTTTTTCTCTTAACTAACCAATTAAATTTTTATAAGTCACATAAGCACTTAAAAAATTGTTTAGGATATCTAGAAAGAATAATATTGATAAAGTTTGGAATATTAATAAAGTTTATCATAACCAATAAAAAAAGTGTCTAAATGATTAAAGCTATTAAAGCTAATAAAAACATTTTCCATTATTTTTATAACAAGGGGTAGTTTTTAAGGGTGCAAAATTACGCAATAAATAAATACTTTCATACTCAGTAAACGAGACTTCAATTCAGTAATGTATTGTTCAAATAATTAAAGTTCCTTGAAATTAATTTTTTCAATGATTCTGCTTTAAGGGGGTGGTGAAAAGTTCACAGTTAATCAAAAATTATATCATATACATTAAAGAAACTATTTGTGTAATATTAATATCTGTACCGTAGAGGTAAAGGGTAGTAACTCCATTTTTTTCTAATTTGGACTTAAAACTGTGGCTAAGCTTAATATGTTCCAATCTTATTTGGGGCAAAAGATGGTATGTGAAGTATTACTGGTGGCCTAGATATTCTTATAAGAAAAAGTAGTATATCCTTTGAAGAACAAGGTAAAGCATAGTAACTCCATACTGCTGTAAACAGCAATATCTCCACACTAGTGTTAGTCACCTTATTTGACAGAGCGATCCAAAACTGCCAAGAAATATCTAGGACTAGAATTACGCCGTGAAAAAATGTACAAATTTAATACCTTAAAGTGTGAAGAAGACCACATTCCAAAGAATGAAATTGTTAAATTATGGCAGTATAAAAAATTTTAAATAATGATTTTAATTTAGCATTTAAATCGGTTTCCGTAGATACTTGTGATAGTTGCGATCGGTTTATGCTACAATTAAAAAACTGTTCCGAGCAAGAAACAATAACATTACCGCGAAATTATGAACAGCTTCTTCAAGAAGCAGAAAGTCGATACAAAATGAAAGCAAAAGATAAAAAGGAAAACAGACAATTAGCTGCAAAAACTAAAGTTATAATGTGTGATTTGTGGAAATGCTTGCCTACGCCTTGTTTGAAAAATAAACCAAAGTTTTTATAAGATGAAATTATGGACTATAAATTTCACGATATACGACGCCATCGAAAATGAATCTTGGGAATCGTGGAATCTTGGGAAAAAATGGGCTATGACAGTTCTATCACAAACTGATGTGAAAGAATTGGTTATTTTGTCAGATAATTGCCCTAGTTAAAACCGCAAGTTTATGGTAATGATGAGCTACTTTTGGCTTTTGAAAATCTGCCCTAATTTAAAAGTAGTTAATCATAAATATTTACTGAGTGGACACACTCATTTAGAAGCTGATCAAGTGCACGCTGTACAAAAAGGGTGTACATATGTGGGAAATTATTAGTATAATTTCAGAGTATGTGGACTGTATTATATAGGGCTGGTTCAAATAAATTAAGGTAAGTAGTAAAAGGTATACAGACAATAGCAAATTAAGTATATAAAGTCTTACCAATATTTCTGCTCCACACTCTCGCTGTTTTTCTGCTCCACACTCTCGCGGTTTTTGCTCTTATGCGGAATATGTCCGGGCACACTCGCGGTTTTTCCAAACACGTGTTTCGCGGTAATAAACTTTGTGAGACAGAGCACACTTGGTTGGAACACGATTTAAAATAGTGTTTGCGGTATTTTTCGCGCAACTAAAACTGAAGAGAGATAATTAGCGATAGAAAAACAGCCAAGATAGATGCTGTTCTTCTTGATAAGCGAAGAGAGAGAGAATGGTCTGTCCTTAGCGACAGGCGACCATCAAGAGAGTGTCCTTTTTGTTTGCTATCTTAACACTGTCTGTATTTCTTAAGGGAGAGGGGTTAAAATGTAAATAGGAAGGGGTATTAAGGGTTGGACTAAGATAATTATTATAAAATTGTGATATAAGGATCGTTAAAAATACAGAGAAAAAATGACATGATTTTTCGCATGTAAAAAAATTTAACACACGCTATAATTGGAAAATCTGTAGACTGTAAAAAACAGCCAACAATGCAGATGGTAACGCCTTGGGATAGGCAGCAATTAATCAGTTTCGTATAATAACAATTTCTTCATTTCAAAGGCAGTCCAATTCCAAGTAAAAAAAGACACACCAATCATAATTTTTTATAAATAGGCTTTTGAAGAAATTAGACCCAAAGAATTGCACGAGCTAGAAGAACAGCAACTGCAACCAATCTTCTAGAGCAGTTACCTCTACGATATCAAAAACCGAAAGGGATTACACAGAAGAAAAATGATCACTTACTTATCTCCTTTTGCAATGAATCTCCAGTCAGTTTTAAGACTTCTATAGAAATTTAGTTATTTTTTGTGTTTTTGTTTGAGTTTATGTAGGCACTTACTATTTTGTATACTATTTTATCTGCTGGTATATGCCGAGGCAAAAGACCTTAAGTCGCAATATTATCCAATATATAAACAAATTTTTTATCACAGTAGGACAATATTGATTAACGAATATATAACGTTACAATTATATAAATACATAATTGCATATGTCTTCAGATTAAGAATGATTGCAATAATTTTCTGGAACTCATCTTATTTTGCCATTATCTCAAAATTTCACTAGGTGTATATTCTACCCTTTACCTCTATGGTACAGATATGCGATTTGATATTTCAGAAATATAAAAAATGATTTTATTTATGATTTTCGATTTAAGGGATAGTTGCTAAAAGGGTTGAAAAATTAATTAAAATCATAAGTCATTCTTATAAATGTTGCAAAATATTTATTTTATTTAATTAATCAAGATTACTTATGCCAGAATACTTAAATTTGCATTTTTAACTATTTAAAAAAAAGTGGTGGATTTCACCCCTAAAATGCAAAAAGCGCAAGTTGAGCTTATGTCACTTTTGAAGTTGAGGGTAAAATATACTTAATCCAAAATTTTCATGCAAATCGATGCAGGTCCACCGAAATCGGAGGTAATACTTGATTTTTACCTTCATTCACTATACTATACGCCATTTTACAGATTTATTTTGGTTGTTACAAAGCTAAATTTGCTTTCTTTTAAAGTAGATGGTCCACCGAATGGTACATCGTTCTCATCAGCCTCGTGCGTCTCAGATTCGTTCTCGTAATAAATTAAATAACTTATTTAAAATAATTTTGTGAGGGCTATTATCAATACTATAATTATTGTATCGATGTCTTAAAAACTGCAAATATATCAGGATAAATTACTGTTTTTTTATCATAACATATTTCTTCTCTTACAGACAATTTCGACTCAACAAAAGTAACTATAGACGACGTTTTCCGCACAAATGTTTTGGCTCTAGAACATGTAGTTCGGGAAGCCGAAACACAAGTAGCAGGTATAGTTGTAATTTTAGATATGGCTGGCCTAAGCCTTCAACACGCCAAATTTTTCACGCCTTATTATGCTAAGAAAATGGTAGAGCTAGTGCAGGAGACTTTTCCGCTACGGTTCAAAGGTTTTCATATAGTTAACGAGCCGTTTTACTTTGATGCTATTGTTGCTGTATTAAAGCCTTTTTTAAAAGATAAGATTAGAAAAAGGGTAAGTCGGATACTTCAATAATTATTAACTTTTCTATTATATTGATTATTTTACGAAAAATGCATAAAAATCCATTTTAATTCATATATGAAGATAATATAAATTAAAATCTAAAAATGTGCGTTCAAATACTTGACTGAAATATTTAAAACTCTCTATTACTTTCGGTAAAACCGAAAGTCTTCATCAACTAATATTTTTAATAAAATATTTTGTACATTATCAAAATTTTAAATTATGCAATGTAATGTTTTACAAATGACACACCATCTTTTTGAAATTAAAATCACATTCACATTCTTTGCCTAATATTTTTTGCAAGTATTTTATAGACCACTTCTAATAGTTCTATAACTCCAGCAAATACAAAATAAAATGAATCATATGCGTTATCTTAAGTTTATCGTATCATTTAGCTGCCTTTAAGCGTTTTATCAAGAATCGTGTCAGTAGGGGACAAGTATTTCTTTACTTAGATTGTGGCATACTAAGAACATATAATTAAAGCAATATTCTTATATATTAATAAAATCTAAAACATTTTCGGTCGCATTCAGGAATCCTATCTTGTTAGTTTTTCTTGCTGTTCTGTCAATATTATGCCCTCCTTATCTCTTCGCATCTATTATTCAAAACCCTTTTCTGCTTCTGTTCAGTTTCTGGTAAACTTTTCTTAAATTTGTTGGCTCACTTGGTTCTTGAAGTTCTTTGTTCATTTTATCTCTTCTTTCTGCGGTGGATTTTCTTCTCTTCTTTACGTAGGTATTTATATTACTTCTACACTTACCGGATTTTGTGCCTCTGTTGCAATAATAAATATGCTCTTTATTCTTTTTGTTATAATCTGACATTGTTCATTAAACCAGTTAGTTGATCTTGTTCTTCTTTGATTACCTTTCATGCCTAGTAACTTTTCAGCTGCTTCTTTCATCATATTTCTGAACTTTTCGCACTCTTCATTTATGTTTTCATCTTTTAGTCTGTTATCTAGTTTGTTGTTTATATTTGGTTTATATTCTCTATTTTTGGTCGTATCTTTGACTCATTCTACATTGCATCGTTCATGTTTAGAACCTATTTCTTTTTTAAGTTTAAAATGCCTGGCCCTTATCTTACTTTTGACCCAGTATGGATCAAAATCCGCATTTACTCCACTTCTGGTGCGTACGTTTATTATATTCGATTATTATCTTAATCTATCATATTTACTGTAAGTTCGTCTGGTGATTTCCAAGTGCCTATTATGTATATCTTTTCGAGCAAAGTTAAAATTAGACAATCGATTAAAAAAAACTAATAACAAAAACAGAAGTCATTTTTGAAAACAGAACATCAAAAATATTCGTTATTTCTTAAGCAACAAATTTTTTCATTTTGTTGTCTGGCTGTTATCATTCGTATTTCATATCATGCAAGTTAAATGTTTTCTTTGCATTCCAGTTCTTCGTTTGGTGAAATTTTCATTTTTTGTATTGACGCTTGTAAAATGAAAATATTTGCTTCATTGCGTAGTTCATTTGTTGTGTTTTTATTTTGCTGTGTCACATTTGGACATAATGTTGGAACGATAATAAGATGAATTTGATTATTTTGGAAATATACAACAAGGAAACAAATTTTTTACGCACCACCAATGATCGAATTCAAAATTTTCAAGAATTTATGATTGGCACGTGATTTCGACTATTTTTGACCAGGTACGATACGTGATTTTATTTGACTAATTTCATTTTTTATTTGCTAGAGTGCTACTTCCATATTTTTTGCATCCACTTTGTCGCGTTTTTGGAAGATCGGAAAATAAGAGCGATATTCCATTGTTTCAACATTTTCTCCTTTTGACAAGCATGCGAATGTTAAACAAAAGATTCTTTCTCAAAATCGTTTGCCGCCTATCGTGAACGTCTCAGCTGGGATACCACTATCTTCCGCCTTCTTTAGGTCTCTTACTATTTCTTTGACTTCATTCAGAGTTGGTTCCTCCCACGTTCCCGCACCGACTTCTTGCTAATTTTCATTTCTCTCCAGGTCCTATTGTTCGTCTTTATTTAACAGATTTTCGAAAAGCTTCACTTATCCGTTTAATTTTTCTGTAGTTTCTATTAAAAATAAACGTTTGTCTCATTATTTCTGTAATATTTTGTATCATCCTTGTTAGGCTCTACGAATTTCTTAACTTCTAGATACAGTTTTTTTACTTCTTTGTTTATATAGACTGCTTCTATGTACTTCAATTGCTTCTTTAACTATTCTCTTTTCTTCCGTCTGCAAATTTCTTTAAATTATCTTCTAGCCCCATTGTTTTCTATCGTATTTTGGGTATTTTCTGTCTTTTTCTACTTTTGTATTGTTTCTTCTTTTTTTTTTTTATTTTATCTCTTTACTTACAATCTTTCTGTACACTTTTCCACTGCTTCCAAAACATTAAATAAACTTATTTTGAATTAAAATTAGGATTTATTCTGAATAAATATAGTAGATAATATAAAAATATCTATATAAAACCGAAACAAAATCTATAAAAAGAATTATGCAGCTTAAAAAGTAATTTTTTATTTAACGTTGAATATAAATGTAGAAAGCTACATTAATGAATTACGTTATATTGCCAAAATTTTTTAAAATTTCAGATAATATTACATGGCAGTGACTTATCTTCCCTGCAAGCCTTTATAGCATCTGAAATTCTTCCATCTGAATTTGGTGGAAAAAGTGGTAATTTTGACAATAGAGCTTGGTATATGCAATTGCTGGCCGATGAGGAGTATTTTAAAAATATTAGGACTTTTGGATATAAAATTGATGTCGATGTTAATGTGGAGGGAGGTGGGGGCGAAAGCGAGAAATAAATGTACTAAATTTACACATTAATAGTAATTATTTGTTATGGACTTCCATCTTAAAAAGTTAATTTAATAAATTAATTAAATGCAAGCTTAATAATGTTTTAGTAAAATACAAGTGTATTAATAATTGCAAAAATGCAACAAAATAACATGAAATTATAGAAACGGTGGAGGAATTTTGCAACTGAGTCACCGGTGGGGTTATTTTGGCCTATGCCTTCAACTTCTTCTTCTTCTTTCTTCTTGTATGTAGACTTTAAAGTTTGCTTCTTCTTCAATATTAGCATCCTAAATTGTTTAAATTGTCGCACCATCTTTTTCTTGGTCTGCCAATACTTCTTCGTCCATTTGGTGACTTATCTTGTGCTATCTCTATTCATCCATCCATTTATGTCTTCTATACTTCATGCCTTAGAGAAAATTTTTAACGAGGCTCTTTACGGAATAGACGAAGGCATCCTTCTAAATGGTGAAAAAGTAAACAATGTTAGATATGAAGACGACACCATGGTGATAGCAGATAGTTTAGAGGGACTTCAGAGGCTAATGGACAGAATAAACGAGTACAGTCAACAGTACGGACTAAACATTAATACCCACAAAACGAAACAAATGATTATCAGCAAGGAGAATATAAATGGGGCTCATATATACATTAATGGGACGCAGATAGAGCGAGTAAAACAGTATTGTTACCTGGGAACTATTATTAACGAACAGTGGAGCAATTTACAGGAAATAAAATGCCGCATAGGAAAGGAAAGAACGGTAACAGCCATTTTAATTCACGCGAAACTATAACTGCAGCGGAAAAAACCGTGCATGCAGCGTTTCATGAAAACAACGCTGATCTGCCGCGACCGTCGCGGATTCCGCCCAACTTGTTTAAATACCTGCATAAGTCGCCGTGCCTTACGATTCGCCGCGATTCCACGTAGGTTGCGACTGCGAAAGTTTCGCGTCGGTTTGGGGAATCCTTTATAGATTTTTGTTTTTGTGTCTTGTCTTAGGTGTTTGTTCTTTCAGATTGTGTCATTAAGAGATCCCGCCGCTTTACTTGCTTTTAAGCTTTGTTGTCGTACTTCTTCTTCAACATATCCGTAACTAGTACTATCACTATTCCCACATATCTAAAACATGCTTCTTGCTTTATTATTTTCCTCATATTTCTCTTTTGGTTTACGTTTAAACCTTAAAAAGATTATCGCCTTAAATTATGTTGGGGCTCTATCATCGAGCAAAAAGACAAAAGAGGGAATCTAATCCTTATGAACAGGAGACCAAAAAAGTGGCCTCTAATGGCGGTCAAATCCGGAAATGCGAATGCGCCAAATTTAAATTTTCCGACACTTATTAACAGTAGCTATATAATATTTTTCAGAATGTGTCTTAGACGAGAAAGTTTTATTTAATTATTAACGATAATAGTCTAAAATACGACACAATTGTTAAAAAACTTCAATATAAATAAGCTTTCATGTGACATTTGGGACAAACAATAACATAACCCAACTAAATTTGATGTCAAACAAGGAGAGAGACCATCTTTCCTTGTTTAAAGTGGCCTCTAAAGATCGCACTTCCTGTCTAACAATATTTTTGCCCCCACCAGCTTTACATTCCCTCTTTTGTCTTTTTGCTCGATGGGCTCTATCATCGAGCAAAAAGATAAAAGAGGGAATGTAAAGGTAGTGGGGACAAAAATATTGTTAGACAGGAAGTGCTATCTTGAGAGACCACTTTAAACAAGGAAAGACAGTCTCTTTCCTTGTTTAAGAAGTCAAATTTAGTTTGGTTATGTTATTGTTTGTCCCAACTGTCACATGAAATTTTATTTATATTGAAGTTTTTTTACCAATTATGTCACTTTTTAGACTATTATCGTTAATATTTAATTAAAACTTTCTTGTCTGAAAAATATTTTACAGGTATTGTTAACAAGTGTTGGAAAATTTAAATTTAGCGCCTTTGCATTTCCGGATATGTCCGCCATTAGAGGCCACTTTTTTGGTCTCCTTTTCATAACAATTAGATTCCCTCTTTTATCTTTTTGCTCGATGGGCTCTATACATCCACGTGTAACTGGTTGCATAGCTGTTAGGCATATATTTGGTTCCGTGTATTGACGGTTTCAGTGCTCGGAGACCATTTTGGATCTTTCTCTTTGAATGAATGAATAATAACTTTAGAGAAATCAGAACTTTAATTAATACGAAATAATTAAGAAAACTACACTAATGTGATTCTTGGAGAAATTTGTTTCAAACACCATGGCAATCGATTTATATATACTTTTTGGCATGTATTTACTTTTAATAATAATATGCATGAAGAGTACACTTGTCTTTTGATTTAACAGAGATTATTATTAATGTAATTAAGGAACTGGAGGAAGTTAATGACTATAGTTTTAGTACTGGCAGTAAAATGCTATCACGCAAATAGCTCATATGATCGTTATATACTGCTATTAAACACAAATAATTTAGTAGGACAGGAGCTTAAAAGATTAAAAAAAAATAAATTTAGTGTAATAATTTGTACACTACCCGCCTCCAAATATTTTATTAGCTTTCTTAAGGACGTCCAGAATGTCCAGATTTGTAAAAGTGCAGTGCATTTGTTGTTAACCTTAATAAAATAGTTTATTATTTAAATAACTCTTAAAAGTTAACGCGCTGTTGATATGATATGACATTTATTGAGGTAATACATTTTGTTATATAATTATACTCTTTAAAAACTTCGTTATTCTTTTTGGATCCGTTTCAATTTCAAATGTAAATGTAATCATTTGTCGCACGCATTTATTTCAAATTGTACCTTTAGCCAATTTAAATTAGTAGTTTAATTTTGTATATCACTCTCTTCAAATATTCACATAAGAAGAAATCCAATAGTGCGAGATCAGTTGATAGTGCTGGTTATTCTATCGCTGTTTGCCTTCCTATCTACAGATATGTAACTGTTTGGTCTGTATAAGTAGTGCCAGATATCGATTATGTAATGTGGCGGGATATAAATTTGCCAAAGTTGGCCCGATATTATTCTGCAGCATAGTTAAATATGCCTTAAAGGCCAAAGTCATTTGGCGAAAATGATAAAAGGAAGATAAGTCAGGGTTATCTTGGCTCATCGTTCGTCTGCCATTAAAAGGCAAGGGTCATTAATAAAACAATGACCTAGACCCCAACAATACCTGTACAAATATTAATCTTTTCAGGGCACTATGTATGTTCTTGTCCTATCCATTGATGATTATTTGTTAACCATGCAATTGCAATTGTGGGCATTTGTATCTCCGTGATTTGTAAAAGAGCACTTTCAGAAAACACAAGATGTTCTATTTGGATTACTTTTTTCTTATGTAATATTTCCATCATTTGTACACACAAATAAATTTTTCGAAAACAACCAGCTTCTATAGTTTCCTGAGTTGGTATCATTTTGTAGCAATGCGTTTTATTTTCTTTTAATACTGACAGAATCTAAGTTTGTGTCATTTATGGCAGCTGCTCATTATAGGTCCACACCTATCTTAACAGCCGCCCAATCTAAGGTGCTGCAATGTTATACATTAGGAAAATGGTTACGCAAATTATTATAGTATAGGGTTAGAACATGTCGTCATGTCCTTGTTTAGGGTTCTGCATCCTCTTTAGTGTTTGAGTTGGATTTTGGTTTGTCGTTTAACAACTGTGACCAAAAGTACCACTGGGATGATCTGGCAAGTTTGTGAAAGTCCTAGATATATGGAGACCTTTCGGATGAAATCTAAACAGGGAATAGAAGACACAGGATATGTTGTGGTTGTTTGTTGGTGACCGTTCACGTTAAGGACCAGACCTCGCCAGCTTTGGAAAGACAGTCTCCGCCGCCGCTAAGCCAGTATGTGTAGTGTTTTTATGTCAGGGTTTAAAAAATAGTTGGACTATTTCCTTAAGGCGAACAGGTATTACTGTACAATGATATTAGATAACTGCAAAAAACCAATCTCGCCCTATTTTCGGTAGCGAAATTAGGTGATAAAGGCTCGTAAAGCTTGCAATGTAGCTTCAAGAATGTCTGCGTAGTCTTCCGAGAGGTCGTCAATGCATGTTCGCATTAGAATGGAATGGATGGCAAACGTTTTTTGTTTTTGGGGGTGCGATATCGTACATTGCCATAAAATAAACGGGAACTCTTTAAGGCCCCTTGGGTATTGGAACGTGATTCGTCTATGACTTTTTGGGTAAACTTCTTGTTCAGAGAGTTTATTTTTTTAATTTTGTAAAGATATTTAAAATATTATGGATTTTGCCGGATGAGAATCGCCAGTTTTTGTAGGTTACCTGACACAATATTCTACTCTCGGTTCTTAGGGATTTTGGTTTCTAAGAGCTATATAAAAGGTAATATATGTTCGATTTGTACTCTATAACGGGTTGAATCTAAGTTTTGTAAGTTTGAATGAGAGTACTTATATTTGTTCTACCAATTCTTCCTGTAAGTGGATTGGGGAGTCGTGTTCTATTTCTTCCCCTTTCTAAAGTTGCCTTTAGATCAGCGTCCCAGCAGAAAGTCCTGATAAACAGTACTCCCAGATAGAAAGCTATCGGGTTGATAGAGAGCTTTTCTCCCATCAATTCCAGAGGTAATTGGTCACCGATATTGCGAATAACCTTGCTGGATGATTTTGGGCTGCAAAACACAACAGTCTGTTTTTTGTTGGTATTTAGTATGACTCTTCACTTCTTACACACCATTCTTCGGCTAAATTAATAGAGATTTTGCTCTTCTAAAAGTTTTCTCAGGGTTGTACCGTTTCTTTGTGATCGAGGCAGTATTGTCTGCTTGGAGAAACAACTGTACACCTAGGATTTTTTGAGTAGAAATGTCACTGTTGCATAACAATAAGTTTCCAAACAAGTCCTTCGTACCAAATTAGACCAAAAGACTTTTAAACATCAAGAAAAGTGGCAATGGCAATGGTATTGCCGTTTAGTAACTTTTGTAGTGCAATCTACTGTAATGCATGGACATTTACGGATGATTTTGGGATTTGAAAAGAGAAATTTGTGGAGTATATCTTTAAGGATACACTCGAAGATTTTCCCTCGCGTATTTATTAGAGAGACAGGGCTGTAGGATTCCATATCGGTACGGGGTTACCTGGCTTGGGTGACATGATTCCATTAGTTATTATCCAAGAAAGTGACTATTTTTAAGACATGCATTAATGACTTGTGTGAGAAGTGGAATGATACTCTCTGAAAGATGTTTGAAATATCTTTGGTTGATGTCATCGGATCCGGGGGAATTATTTTTTTTATCTTCTTCTTATGGTGCCCTATCCAATTAGTGGACGTTGGCGACAATTCTGGCATACTCCTCTCGATCTTGTATGATGCATGGACATCGAGGTTTGCCAATCACTTATGTTTTTAAGCCATGAGTATTTATTTCTTCCGATGACCCATTTTCCTTTTATCTTCCCTTCCATAATAAGCTTTAAAATCTGGAATGTCGAAATATATGACCCAGATATTTTCTTATATGGCATACATTTTCGTTTTGCTGTTATTGTGGTTTTATGGTCGTAGGGGTGGTCTGGATTGGGTATTGTAAGAGTATTTTATGTCTATATATTCTATGTTGAATGTAAATATACGATCAAAGTTTGAGTTGTCTGGAGCTTGGAAATTATTGTGAAGCGAGTTTCTAAATGTTTCAGATTTCTTCTATGGGGAGTTAATTATTTGGATATTGACCAGCAGATGGGTCTGTTTTTGTTTTGTTAGGGCTTTGAATGTGTTCCAGAATTTATCATCGTCTCTGTAGTCTAGTTTAGATATAGCATCTTTCCGCCTGCAAGCCTGTGGGATAGATATTTCCCATTTTCTTCTATCAGATTTGCGTATATATTTTGTTTTGACAATGAGGTCTTGTTGGTTTTGTATTGATAGAAAAACCATCCTTTTTGTTTTATTTTGGCAGTTATGTAGAGTAGAAGAGCCGGAGAGATATAGTTTAGTTGTTTTGATGTAATGGAATATGTAATAGCCATAGAAATAAGACTTTCGGTTTGGATTGCACTCATGTCGATATTTTTATTTGTATCAAGCTCGTCTAACATTGAGTGATTTTTAGTAATATATTTTTTGAATAGGTGCCAGCTAGCTTTGCGATATTTTCTTATTGTTCTTCCAGAATGGATTGTCGTTCCTCGTAAATGTATGTCTGAGTTGACCAGAATGGACAGGTAGTTGGATGTCATTATATCGCCATGTGGCATCTGCCCTTGATTCTGCCCAAAATGTTACTAGTAACTAGGATGGAATTTGGGTTGGAAGCCCCATTTAAAAACGTGTACTTAGTATTCGTGATTCTTGAAGGTCTGTCAGTGCATTTGATAGTTGAATGCCTTTCAATTTTAGTCTGCAATCAGCGAATCATGAATATCTACCTTTAGGTCACCCATAAGTATACCTTTATTTAGGGTCCCAATCTAAAGTTAGTTTAAACAAAAAAGTTAGTTGGTTTGATTTTATGCTATTCTTAAAATCCAGTGTTGCCACTTTCGCCATCCAAGTCGTACCATGTTCTGTTCCTCTGTGCTACTCTGTGAAAGTAGGTGTTATAAAAACTTATGAAACTTATCATTACCGTTTAAATTTCAATGAAGAGAAAGTTTAAATCGTAATGACAATTTTTAAAGTCTCATTTTAAATTGTCTCTATTTATAGTTTTACTATAACTGAATAGGTAAAGTAGAAAAAAAATAATAGATTATTGCGTTAAACTCAAAACACTGTCGCCGGACACGATGATCTCTACTATATTTTTATTATAGGGGAAGGGCGGGCAAGATGGCATACTTAGTTTATTTTCCATATATTTGAGACATAAATAGAGACAAATCATTTTTTTTTATGTATAATGATAGGCAGGTCATTTTTCTACTATTTTAAGTAACAAAAAATCACTCATATAAAGAGATTTATTTAAAAAAAAATCAAAATCAAAATGTAACAAAAAACCATTTTGCCCGCCCAGTGCGGGCAAAATGGCATACACATAAACAATAGTGTTAAATACAAAAATAATTATAAATTTTTAATTTTTACGAAGAAAAAAAATTGAAATTAAACATTTTAGTGCATACAAAGTTCGCAAATAAGTTGTTTTGCTTTTTTGGGAAGTCCAGCACATTCTGAGTGTGACCAGTTTTGGCAAATTTGGCATCTTAACCATCCTTCATTAGATTTGGACCTACTAAACGTATCATTGCAGTAAATCCAAGCGCAGTCCTCTTGTTCATCATCAGCAATACTAAAGGTCTTCTTCATCACTTGATAGGTATATTGTTTATTATTGGTCTGGTCACAATATTTCTCTTGCCTTTTCTCTCCGACTGATGCCTATCTTTGTTTACAATGCGTCTTCCATAACTTAAATCATTGACTATTTTTCTTTTCACGACGTCCCCTTTTCTGCTTTTTATTTCGTGTGCTTTTTTTCATTTTCTTTTTCGCGGAGATATTTCAGGAAGGGGCTCTCGGTTAATACACCTTGATATTGACCAGATTTACGTTTGGTAGATTTTCTTACATTACTCTGAGGTACCGGTGTCAATTCCATCAGGATTTCTTCAATAGATTCATCTTTAGAACCAGATGCCGATGGTTCTTGGACATCATGATGATCGTAAGTTGCAACGTGAGGAACATTAACATCAGCAGGTAAAGATGTAGAAGCAATGTCAGGTTTATTAGTAGAACCAGGCATATCCTCAGGCACATCTGTACTAGGCACTAGGCAAAAATGCATGCTCCGGAAAAATGTCACGATTTATAGGTGATATTCCTGTGGCCCGAAAACCATTTATTACGATTTCAATATTTGCTGTTTTCTCATATGCTTTCTGGAAGAGACTGGACACTTGATATATGGTTATTGCACGACCAGGATTTTCTCTGAGCCAATGA